CCCTCACTTTGAATCTGGCCCAATCCAGACCTCTCCTCAGTAGGGAAAGTACTAAAAAGAATGAAAGAAACACAAGGAGAAAAAATGCCTCATTAAGAGGAGTCGCAGATGGCTATAGTGTATAGCAGAGAGCTGTCTGCAAACGTAGAATGAGCCCTGGACTGGGCTAACACTGCTCCCATCACTGGCAGGGAGTGATGAGAGTTGATAGACCACAGTCTACCCTCAGTCCCAAGTGCCAAGCTCCTTACCTCCAAAATGCTTTTGATGTTCAAAGTGCTTTTAACCAGTCCTAATTGCTGTGACAACTCCAGCCACTTCATACCCACCTATTGCTTCTGTACATCTGCCAGATGTCAGCTCCAGTATACCAGCACAGCACATTCCATGACCACCTCCTCACCAGGACCCTGTCTCTAGCACACTAGCCCTTCTCGTGCCTCAGACAGGCTTGCCAGTCATTGTTCTGGGAACACAAACTCTGTTCCAGGGTGCTTCAGAAACAGGAAAAGGGGGAAAGCCTGCTGCTGTGCAAAAGGTACTTGAGCAGGTCCAGCAGGCACCTCAATGGCTTTTTGTGGCTTCCCTCTGTGCAGTAGCTAATCCACAATGTGGATAAGTAGTTGTGGGTCATGAAGAGCTGACAGTACTGCCCTCTCCTGTGCTGGGGGGATCATGAATGGTGAACTTGCTAGGAGAGGTGGCTCTAGAGTAGCGTCTAGGGCCTGTGCACAATGCTGCCAGTGAGACCTCTTCCAATGACACACAGCCTGTGGCTCTTTTGCAAGAATAAGCACAGTGGGTGCACCCTGGCACATGAATATACCTTCCCATGTAATTTTAGCAGCCATAAATCCTGAGTCACAACCAGATGTGCCAAGTGTTGAGTTCTGTGCAAGCCCCCAGACAGTGTCCACACCTGGAAGACCCAAGCTCTGGAGCATTTTGAACGCAGTCTCTAAGCCATGTTGTCCATAGCTTGGTCTTTTACCCTCAGCAACCTGCTTGAAGAGGTTTTCTCAAGCACAGCAGATCTCCTGTTCTACATGTGCCCTATTGCTCTTCTTTTGAGCTAGCAGCATCCAAGCTTTCCCAGTGTCTTTCAACACCCTTTTTCACATCACCAGGATGAAGGATGGGAAGAAGGCTCTGCTATTTTTCTACACATTGACCAAAACATGTGCATCTCTCAGATTCAGGCAGACTAAAGTCACCATGTACTTCAGGAGCCACAGCCCCTCTCATGGACAGATGGATGCAGATGAAGCCTTGCCCATGCAGCTGAGGCTGACACCTGCCCTGTGATGTGAAGGACAAACAGCCAGGAGATCTCCTGCATCAGTGGCACTAGGACCTGGCAAAGCAGCAGTAAAACCAATTTGCTCAGAGGTCCATGTGGTGACAAACTTGCCCCAGCAAGCTGGTTAAAGAAACCTTGTATACCCCTGGCAGGCATGCCAGGATCCTTCAGCCTCTCTTGAAAGCATAGTGGCCTCCCAAAACTTTCCCCTCAGTGGATGGTTTGGTTGCTCCCTGTCTAAAGGAGAAAGTCCTTCCACAGCCCCCTGCTCCCCTCCCTGCCACTGCAACTTGCCTATAATTAAATAATAATGGATAAATGGAACATAGCTTGATGGTAAGTGCTTAAAAGATTTATCTTTGTGGTTTAATTTAAGACATTTTAGTATCAGCTAGCAGTTTCCAGCCATGATGGTAATTTATTTAAATGATTTATGTGGAAAAACAAGACATTCCACAGTGCCTCTAAGATGGCTCCTGGAGTGTGGCTGTTGCTGGCCTCTGTGAGCCAAGATACTCATTTACACCTTGTACTTTGCATCTCTGTGGGGGGATGATTAACCCTGATAACAATACCTCTTGCCAGGGATTTTAAGCCTTTCTGCTTGAACAAATATGAAGCTGCATGGAATAATTTAAAAAGCAGAATGCACAGGAACAACACGGGAAAGAATTATTTCAACAGTGTTCAACACAGCAAAATGAAATTACCTGAAAAGAAACAAACTCTGGAAAGAGATTTCCGAGAAGTAAAACCAAAATGTATTTAGGGACTTCAGAACAAAAACTGGGGAGAGGGAGCCTGGTTAATCCATGCAAATATTCAGACATTAGATGCTACCCCATTAAAACTTTCAGAAGCATTGAATGAGAGCAGCTGCAGAAAGTACTTCCTTTTCTATGAAACAGCGGTGAGCCTAGATGTACTCTAGGTTACCCTGCTCTTGCAGGAGGGTTGGACTAGATGATCTTTTGAGGTCCCTTCCAACCCTTAGGATTCTGTGATTCTGTGATTCTACAAAAACAAACAACCAATTTAAAGGATCGCTGTTGCCTTTAGAACTGCTTGGTTTATCCATTTGCAGAGAAATACTACCATTTAAACAAGACTGCAGTGTACTAAAGGCTGACTTATCCCCTTTTTTGAGCCTCTCAGTCCAGCCTATATTACTCATATTAGCTCTTGCAAGAAAGGAAAGCTCTCAACAAGCTCTACATTCTCTTGCAGGGACTCTGTGATTGCAGTTAGGCTTCAGTGTTACTTGAGACAAGTCGGCAAAGGACCATCAAAGCATAGAAGATGAAGTACTAAGATAGCAGAGGTATTTGACATCTCAGGACCATTCTCCTCTAATATCTTAGTGAACACCATAGGCATGAACGAGCAAGAAAACTCTGCACCCTGTATCTAGCTAAACTCATGCCCAATAAAGAAGTCAGGATTTGCCTGCAATTTATCAAACTATGATAGTGACAGGCAATGCTTGTCACCAGGCATTGGTATTTTTCTTAATGACCTCTTCTGCATGAGTGATTACCCCTAGTCTAGAAATAGGGAGGATGAACACTAAGAGGTGACGTGATTCATACAAATTATCTCAGATATTATGAAAAGAAACAGCGAATGAAAACCACACCATTTAGCTCCCAGGCTCAGTGTGTCCACGAGTCTGTGCTCTCTGTTACTGTTTAAGTACAGGAAAAGGGAAGGTGTTTGAGGTAGGAAGATCTACATTCATTTTTTCTTAATGTTCCTTCTAATAAGAAGGGAGGTTTATCATGGAAAGAAAATTTTATCCCTGATTATTGCTCAAAAAGACAATATAAAAGACTGTGAGCATATATATTTCTTCTAAGAAGTGTTGTGCTGTTCTCCAGTGCATGAAGAGAGCTGAGAGGGAAAAAAAAAACGTGTTTCTCTTTGTGCAAGGCATGGAGGAAGACTTATAAATTGGTCAGAGACAGCAAGTAAAACTGTACCTGGCCTCCTATAGCATGGCTGCTGCACAGGGAGCTGGCCAGCCCCCACAGCACCTTTGCTCTCTTCCACCTTCCTCCTACTCCCAAGATATTATATGGAGACATTTTCATTATATGCTTGAGAAAGACATTTATGACAATTTTCAAGTCTTCATATGCATCAGTCATTCTTCTTGAGATAGGAAAGGACTTTTGTTACTGATTTAGGGCTTAGTACTTAAAAATTTTTATATGGCAGTGCTAGGTGTATTAAAAACAGTTATATGTTTAGCACATGGAACCAAAATGTTGGTGTGTGTGGTCGAAAGCCAATAATAAAAGAAACTACAGACTGAAAATAAAGACTGGGGGGAGGGGGAGGAAAGAGAAAATAAATAAAAAGAGAGAAAAAAAAAAGCCCACACATCACTGTCTATACTTTCAAATGTCCCACAAGGAAATCCACAAATCCACTTAGTGGCCTCTTTTTCCTTCTGGATTCTGATTCTCCTCTCATTTACACAACTGTAAATACAGATTAGTTCCTTTGAAGTCAGAGGAGTCTGAGGCTTTCAGACAGATGAAATAGGAGAATAATTGGTCCTTCTAAAAACAGAGACTCCCCATCTGGCTAGATCCTGATCCTGTTGATTTAGTGGGTATTTCCCATTGAGTTTAACAAGAGCGGGAGGAGCCATTTCATTCAGTTAAATTACACTTTCAGCCAGGTCTTCTGCTAACTCTGTGGAAGTTGCATTTATCTGCAGTGCCAGAAAACTGGGGGTTTGATATTGCATGTGCTGGCGTAACTCAGCAACACTCTGAACAAGCAGGTGAAAACCAAGTTAGGTCCATTATTTGCAATGATAAATACCTGTATTATTTGTCATGAAAACACAGATTGCTGTTTTATAGCTTGAATTAGGCAAATCACTAGCAATAAAGTATCATCAGGCCTCCAGCTGAAAGTCTGATAGCTGATAGCCAGTTTGGAATATTAATTGGTGCAATTAAAAGGTAAAGAATACTTCAAGGAGATATCCTAAGGACAACTCTGGCCAGGCACCAGAACAAAGTCAATAAATAAGTGTCAAATGAGTACTAAGCAGAAAAGGCAATGGGTCTTGAATCATATTGATTCAGATGAAGGAATAAAATGACAGTGTCAAGAGGCTGGATAAAAACCTAAAATTCTGAAAAAGAGTATCAGCTATCAGAAGGGTTTGTTGAATCCTGTAAGTATCATATTCGTCTGTAAAATCTACCATCTTTACATTGTTATGTTTTTTTAACAAACACAAAGGCTTTTTTACCCTTTTGAGCAGAATTAATCTTTTGTCTTTAAAGACTATAGCTGGTGGAAACCTCAGTGATCTATTGGAATATGGGCTGTAGAGGGTGCAGAATTTGAAACCAAACACATGATTTATGGAGCTGAAAGTGCTAAATGTTGTTCTTCTGCTTGCACGCATTGCAGAAACTGACTTAATAGTCCTTTAATTCACCCAGCCTAGAGGTACAATGCTATCTCCTGAGCATAGATAATACCTGATATTAGGACTTTTAAACATGGTCTAAATGCTGTAGCATATTGTGTTTGCTTGACCAAACCAGGCAGAAATCAGGAATGAAGCAAGCTGGCATATTGAGCTGAGATGGGGTGTTTCTGCTGGTGGAGTTTGGACTAATACGACCACTGAATGAAAGCCCAGCTAGGAGGCATATGGTAAATTCATACTTACAAAATCAGTATATGAGAACATCAGCACTGCCATATCGTCCACTTTGGAAGAAAACCATATAACCACAGATTTGATTGAGCTTCTCCTGGGAAGTCAATGTAATCATCACTTCCAAAACCAGGTCTGTTGTCTGTAACATACAGACATATTAAGATAGCTTTGAGCAGTTCAATTATTCTTACCTATAACAAGATTGAAAAGAAGTTCTCAGGGTATTTTTTATTGCTTTCTTTCCCTTTGTAGCAAGTGTTCTTGGCTTTAACAGGTTTTTTGATTCCCTGAGTTCAGGAAGTTACCATTTCCAAACAGTTGGGTCAAGGGCTTATTGTATCCCACGATGCTCTACAGAGATCTCTGGGACCTCGTCCCAGGCAGGCCAACATGAAAAAAAGGTGGCAGAGATCTGCAGAATGTCACCAGCTTCAGCTAGTTTATCAGCACATATTGCACAAAGCAGAACTTGCCCTTGATATTCTTTTGCTGTTATCATATTAAAGGGCTAAGTGATGCCCCCTAATATCTGTAAGAGGTTTTTCAGTTATCTTTCTGATGCAAATTATATCATTTTGCATTATCCCCTGATTATCTGCAGTTTGAAAAATACAGCAGATTTTGAGCAAAGACTGTATGTCAGTTGTCTCCTCTGAGAACAGCACCCAAGTAAGCAAAATTGAAACAGCTCCATGATGAATTGAAGTTTAGCTGTAGCTCAAGGATGGAATCAGTCTGGGCGATAGAAAATTTGTCAGGTATTTGATAAACTGGCATTAAAGGACTGGGTGTGCCCAGCTCAGAACCTGCCTGTATACCCAGTCATCTTAAGCACATATATCCTCTCCCCTTCCTAGATGTCTAAATTTAGTACTGAATCATTACATTTAAGGGACCTTCAGGCCCATTAGATGACAGCCCAGTGTGAGATCTGCCCACAGTTCTCATTGCACAACATGGAATAAGTTGCATCTGATTGTGGCAACACGCCGACAATGCTAAGGTTAATGAAGATGTAAAACAAAGAATGCTTAATGAAGACAAATTATGAGTGATTGTTTTACAAGGCAGCATTTAGTATTAAGAATAATCATTATAAAGTAAATCCTCTGCCCACCTCTGGCTGGGCTTTTGTAGAGGTGCACAGCATTTCAAAACAAAGTTGAGAAAAAGCAAATACTCAAAAGGTCTGAAAAGCAACATCAGTCAAATGTGGTATTACTGGTTTTAAGAAGCAGTGATAGGAATGTACGGGGGCAAAGAAGGAACAATATCGTGACTCTCTGCCTTGTAAATTTTATTACCATAATGTGGATAAACCATGTTTCTCATTTTGCTTGTGTTAATCTCAACAACTGTCTCCTTTGCAAGTTCAAGCTTTTGTATTTATACATATACAGAATAGACTGGGTCTGTAGTCTACAATTATTAATTTAATAGTGGTTCTGGACCATATCTTATTATGTAGTCAGATACACTGAATTATGACAGAAGACCCCTCCAGAAATCCACTTAGGGCACTTCCTCAAAATAAAAACACTGCCAGATTGTTGAACACCCAAGACAAGAAGGAGAGGAGCCTTTTCACCCAGTCCCATCTATCTCTCTGAAAGTCTGAAATTTTGACAAACTTACACAGTCTTTAAATTATGGAAGTGAGAGAAGATGTGGCTGTGCAGGGCTCTCCTTCTTCCTCCTATGCTGAACAACCTACAAGGTTATAACGGGACCTCAACATGTCTAAAACAGGCCTTGATCACACACTAAAGGGCAGAGTATGAAAGGAACCTGCCAGAGCTGGAAGAATCAATGTTGACTCTTTCTCTTTGCCAAAAAAACTACTGATTCTCTATACTTGTTCCTGTAACTTGGCTGACAGGTTCATTGGACAGCAAGAATCTCAGCTAACAGTGCTGCTTCAGCCAGTAGTTCTTAATAACCCTGCCGAGAAATGATTTATAGACAGGCGCTGAACAATGCAAGAGGATATATAGTTTTTTAATATATCACATCTCAGGACAGTTTGCTTGCTTACCAGTTGCCTCATGTTCTTTTCCACAAAGCTGCAAGAATACAGTCTCTCTGGGGTGTTTGATGGGTAAGAGGTGATCCATGAAGCTGGAATAGGACAATATATATAAAGCTGACTGCTCTGTGCGTTCCCTCACGTAGCAGCAGCTGTACAATAACATGGGTTCTTAAAATGTGACCTTCTAGAGTGAAGACTAGACCATTCCCCCTTGAAGTTAATTAAAAATCTCTTGTTCATCTACATGGAGACTGTATGCTTACCACAGTCAAAATCTGGCCCTCAGTATGTCCTCTTTCCCTAAGGCCATCAGTTTGTTTGGCTGTTACTGCCATGCGCACACATTCTTCTTCAAAATTAATAGCCAAGTCCTTCCATGTGACCTCTCTGCTTTGACAGACATCTATACCATGACCTTCTGTTTCAGATACACCACAAAATCTGGCACAACACACTCGCAAATAAAGGCAGTACAATAAAAATGGGAACAAAGGTGACTGGTTGGATGCTTACTGCTATGGTAAAACATACATCAAAAGAAGGAATAAGCTGTGTTGAATATAGGATAGGTCTGATTTACTATACTTTCAATCCATACCTTAAATATCCTGTGGTTTTGATCATGGTCTGTAATTCTTGCCTTAATGCAGTCCCTTTTATCCCTTTTCTTTATGTACCCTATGTCATCCAGATAATATCTAGGTGGAAATACCAGCCAGCACAAAGCATCTTGCAGGCTGGCAATTTGGGCTTTACAAAGTTTTCATGGGAGTTATAAAGAAGACACTCAGCAAAAATATGTTGCTATCTGAGGCAGTGTCTGTACATGCCTGATACACGACTAATTGTAACAATCCCACAAAATGGAAATAGAGGTTTCTCAAGCTTTGCTTATTGAGGCAGGAGAGAATGAAATGAGCTTTTTTCATTATGTTTTCTTTTCTCTTTTTGTAAATCACTTTCACCATAAGTGAAAGTCATGTTTATTTTGAAAATTAAGTCTTACCTATTTGGTGAGCAACATCAGGTAGGTAATGTTTAGAGGACTTACAGCCTTTTTCTTTGATCTTCTGCAACATATATTCAACCTGGAACAAAAGGTCAGCATCCTTGAATGCAAAACATCACAGTCTTGTAAAAAACTACCCCACTGGAGTTCCGGCAATGCACTGAATGGGGAGAGAGCTTTGAATTCAGGCTATGGAGATTTCCTGGTTAGTTTTAGTGCAAGGGTGAGGAAATCCCCTGAGACCAGATATTGAAGGAGGGGAATTCAATCACTAAGGTGTTTCAAGGCTGGATTCGGCTGAAATACATTCATAGAATATGCTGACAGGTTTTCTCTGAGCAGGAACCAATTGAAAAAGAAGGGTATTTGTTTCTGTATGTACAAATCTAATTTCTGGTTATTCTGGATATACAATACAGAAATCATCCTACTTTAATAAATAGGAACTGGTTGGAAGGAAGAAGGCAGAGAGTTGTGGTCAATGGGGCAGAATCTAGCTGGAGCTCTGTGACTAGTGCAGTCCCTCAGGGGTCGGTGCTGGGACCAGTGCTGTTTAATATTTTCATCAGTGACCTGCATGAGGGAACTGAATGTACCCTCGGCAAGTTTGCTGATGATACTAAACTGGGAGGAGTGACTGACACACCAGAGGGCTGCGTTGCCATTCAGCAAGACCTGGACAGGTTGGAGAGTTGGGCAGAGAGGAACTTGATGAAATTCAACAAGGGCAAGTGTAGAGTCTTGCATGTGGGGAAGAACAACCCCATGTACCAGTACAGGTTGGGGGCTGACCTGCTGGACAGTAGTGAAGGGGAAAGGGACCTGGGGGTCCTGGTGGATAGGAGGGTGACCATGAGCCAGCAATGTGCCTTTGTGGCCAAGAAGGCCAATGGCATCCTAGGGTGCATTAGAAAGGGTGTGGTTAGTAGGTCAAGAGAGGTTCTCCTCCCCCTCTACTCTGCCTTGGTGAGGCCGCATCTGGAATATTGTGTCCAGTTCTGGGCCCCTCAGTTCAAGAAGGACAGGGAATTGCTTGAAAGAGTCCAGCGCAGAGCTACAAAGATGATTAAGGGAATGGAACATCTCTCCTATGAGGAGAGGCTGAGGGAGCTGGGACTCTTTAGCTTGGAGAAGGGGAGACTGAGGGGTGACCTCATCAATGTTTACAAATATGTAAAGGGTGAGTGTCAGGATGATGGAGCTAGGTTTTTTTCAGTGATGTCCAGTGATAGGACATGGGGCAATGGGTATAAACTGGAGCATAGGAGGTTCCATGTGAACACCAGGAAAAATTTCTTTACTGTGAGAGTGACAGAGCACTGGAACAGGTTGCCCAGGGGGGTTGTGGAGTCTCCTACGTTGGAGATATTCAAGGCCCGCCTGGACAAGTTCCTGTGTGGTGTACTCTAAGTTACTCTGCTCTTGCAGGGGGGGTTGGACTAGATGATCTTTTGAGGTCCCTTCCAACCTTTGGGATTCTGTGGTTCTGTGATTCTGTGATAGGAAAGAATCCTAAATTGTGCCTGACTCTCCCAGTACTAAGGAATTATTTCTCCCTTTTTTATACCCAGAAGCCTTAGGCCAGTATATTAAAAATAACAATACCATTCTAAAAGGTTTGACTGTCACTTTGCTGAACCATGGTTTCTGGCTAATAGGACACAGATCACATTCAACCTTAAAAGGCTTGTGGTAGAAACTATTAAATACCCCAATTAGGAATGAGATGGAGCAGTCCCCTAAGGACCTTTGCTCTCTGATGTTCTCACTGCCACTGGAAGAATAAATAAATGCAAAGCCTGCCATCCTAGCTAATAACTCCCAGAGACAGGTTACAATTACGCAATGGGAGTTAGCCCATGTTTCAATGATGTTTTGCTATTAAATCTGCCTTTCTAAAAGGCTTTTTATGACTGCAAGAAAAAAAAGAGGTGTCAGACTCAAAGCATATGACCCAACACTCTGGGTTTTGTGACAGCCAGCACTAATCAAGCACAGAAGACATTTTTTTAAATTATTTACTATGTTCCTTTGGAGGGGAATATGAATCAGAACTGAGCAGTCTACAGGGACTACAGATGCTCCTGG